ATATATATATATATATATATATATATATATATATATGTATATATATATATATATATGTATATATATATGTATATATATATATATATATATATATATGTATATATATATATATATATATATATATATATGTATATATATATATATATATATATATATATATATATATATATATATATATATATATATATATATATATATATATATATATATTTATTTTATATACATTTATATGTAAGTAGGTAGATATATCTAAGTCTGTACTATAATATAATGTTTAATACAATAGACCAAATGTTAACAATGATAGATGTAAGAATAACTTTTTCTTACATTTCTTGGGAAACATTTTTTTTTTCATAAAAGATGCCCAACCAGTTTAGAAATGACTAATCTTTTCAGTGCCCCTAGAAGATTATTTTCACCTCTGACTTCCTTCATATGTAGCACAGATCTGACTCCAGGCCAAGGTTAAATTTAGATGGAAAAATAAATCTGAATTCACAAGGCTCTTAAAACTTCTCTCTTACAGCCTCATGTGAGAATGTTTTACGAGAAAAAGAAATATTCTTTGTAAGTGCATTTATTGTTGTGTCTGTCTTAGGTTCTTGTGTTCGAGTATTAACATATTGTATTTACTGAAACATAGGTAATTAGATCTGGCTATACACTGTGTTAGTGATTGCTTGGTGATATGCAAATTATCTTGTTATGGAAGCACTTTCTGGTTATTTCATGAGTCTGGAAAATGAACAGAGAAGATTATGGGAATATTTAAGTTACTTTTTTTCCTGAACTTGGGTATTTTTAAAGCAAACTCAGGCCTTTTCTTTCATTTTGTCAAGTTATATTTGTTACTGAGAACAAGTTATTCTGTATCTCGCATGAAGGAAGTTGCACTGTCATAATGTTTTAGTAAGTGACTTGAGTGTTTGGTAAAGAACTTTCACTAATGAAGCGATCCCCTTGCCAAAAAGAATGACTTCTGTCACTCGCTGTGCAGATATCTTGCTGGTGGTTTGTGTAAACACTCACTCTCTCACTCACTCACTCACTCACTCACTCACTCATACACACTCACTCACTCATTTATTCACACACTCATTCACTCACTCACACTCATTCACTCACTCACGCACTCATTCACTCACTCACTCACTCATTCACTCTCACTCACTCACACTAACTCACTCACTCACTCACACACACACACACACACACACACACACACACACACACACACACACACATATATATGTATATAAATACACATATATACAAACACACATGTGACCTTCCCTCAGTTCCAGAAAGTTAATCTCTTCAAGTGTCAAACATATCTGCTTTATTGGCTCAGAAGTCTCTTCATATCTTCTATTTTCTTCTTCCATTTCTTCTTCTTCGTCTTCTTCTTCTGCTTTTTCTTCTCTTATTCCTTCTTCTTCTTCTTCCCCTTTTATTCTTCTTCTTCTTCTTCTTTTTCTTCTCTTATTCCTTCTTCTTCTTTTTCTTCTCCTATTCATTCTTCTTCTTCCTCTTCTCCTATTCCTTCTTCTCCTTCTTTTTCTTCTCCTTCTCCATCTCCTCTTCCTCCTCCTATTTCTTCTCTTCCTCCTCCTCCTCCTCCTCTTCCTATTTCATCGTCTCCTATTTCCTCTTCTTATATTTATTTTTCTTCTTCTTCCTCTCCTCAAAGCTCAAAGCACTTCCTCTTCTGGCAGTCGCTTCCCAGCCCAAATATTTTCAAGTGTAATGATAAATTGCCACATTCCTTGTGTCTGGTCTGAGCAGTCTTCTCAGTTTCAAATTGATTTTTCTTTTCTTCTGTTTTTCTTTTTTCTCTGTTTCTCTCATTTTACTCTTTTGACTTGCTGACATTGTATGATTTCTTTTGATTACCCTTACATAGGGTATGTGTGATGCCTCTCACTTGACACCTAGATAGATGTCTTGTCCCAGTGCCAATATCATGCCTGTCGTCCTGCCCTCCCCCCCCCTTCCCACCCCGTCAGTGGCATTCATCTCCGTCTGGCACCGCCCTAGATGGATCCAATCAGTGAGAGGACTGACTCCGTGCGGCTAGTTTGCTCCTGTGTGCGCTGTTGGCCGAGTCTTGGGAAACATCGGCTCTCGACTTAGTACTAGCTAGTTTCCTCTTCCGTCCTTTTTTTTTATATTTTGTTTGTCTGTTCTTTTTTAAATGTTTGTGGCAAAGATGAGACTTTGATTCAGAGAGAAGTGTGCGTTGAAGAACTCTCGTGCTCTCATTCCGAGACTCAGGCGTTTAATTTTTACCCGGACGCAGTTGAAGGTGGTGGTGGTGTGTGCTAACCAGTACTTATGTATATGTATATCAAAAGTGGTGAACGCGCTTATTTGCAGCAGATGTCAGGGATCTTCATACCAACTTGTTGTGTAGAGGATCAGGTAACCGACCTGTGCTTTATTTTGTGTTAAGTAGATTTTGCCCATAATTTTGGAAGGGCAGGGTATTGGTGCTTTAAGAATTCTTGATTTCCAGATGCAAGAGATGGAGTTATCATAAACAGTGACTAAACTGCGTTGAATGTTAGCAGTGGTAAATTTGTGTAAGACTAAGGGATTAAGTGAAAATCAGTGTTACTGTGGTGTAGCAGTTACTTGAGGCCTTTTTTTTTGTCAGAATGGGAAATGGGGCATTTTATGGATATGTTTATGGGAAATGGTCTATTTTGTAGTTGTGCTTATCTAGTAATGTAAAGACTTAAAAAAGGTTAATTGTCCCTATTTTGTAGGTTATTACAACAGCTTTTATATGCAGTTCATCCTTTAAAGTATTTGTCATAATTAGGACTGGCAAAAGTGTTTTATTGAAAATTTGAACACTTTTACAACAGATTTGTTATTTGCTAGATTCTCATTTAAAATCTTTAATAAGGTGAAAATTGAATGTACTTATGTTATAATATTAAAAAGAAAGTTGTTGATCTGGGTTTAGAAGAAATTCAAACTTTGATTAAGTCTAAGAATTTACTGATATAGAATTTTAAAGAAAATTGCAATATTTCCTCTACATTTATTGATAAAGGTAGATAAAAAGCTTTATATTTTTCTACACGTATCAGGAGTAGATGTAGGGATTCGGTTTTGAGAAGGTGCTTGTAAATTGTGTATCAGTTCAGTGAAAACTATTTTTGGTGATATTTGCTAATAATAATTTACATATAACTTTTCCCTTGTTTTTTCCATTCCACTTTGCAGTAGTTTTAAGCAATACTAAATGTAAAAGGAAAAAAATTAATAGAAAAAAAACATATATATATACTGTACAATATATATACTATCATTGACTTTCAACAGTTATTTATTGTGCTGTAAGTTAATTATCTGATAAAAATGGATTTTGCAAGAATTTATAACAACATGCACAGCACCACATCAGACTATGAATCCATGGACTCTGTAAGTATATAAAGTACACTTATTTCCTAATTATGTTGGCTTGCTATACTGTACTCCTAGTGCTGTATTGGACCTTTATTTCTTTTACGTAATTGAGGTGGATTGTAGTTTACAATTACTGTTGAAAGTAGAATGGTTATTAACAAGACTTTTAAGATATACTAACAGTTATTTAACTCTGAATAAAGCACTCCCATTTCGTAAAGAAAAATGTTAATGAAAATGAATGAATTAGTTATGTATCTACAGTTGTTTCCTAGGTGTGGTTTTGTCTCGCAAGAACTCGGAATTGCATTTTTACTTGACTGGGGAATGTTACTCTCTCTCGCTCCTGTTTAGTGGAGAAATATTTGTCTTTGCTTTTTTGTTATCTGCTTTTTTTACCAAAACTATATATATATATATATATATATATATATATATATATATATATATATATATATATATATATATATATATATATATATGAAAAGGAAAACAGCCACAGTAAGAAATTAATATGAATCATAACGTTTCAAACTCTTCACAAGTTTCTTTTGATGAATAATAAACTGAAATGGATCCATTTCAGTTTATTATTTGTCTGAAGAGGAACTCGTGAAGAGTTCGAAACAGTACAATTCATATTCATTTCTTACTGTGGCTGTTTTCATTTTCATTATTGTGTACATGTTACTGTGTTTGTGCTTGTGTCATATATATATATATATATATATATATATATATATATATATATATATATATATATATATATATATATATATATATAATTTTCTTTTTTCTTTTTCTTTTTTTTTCTCTCTTTATTTTTCATTGTAAGTAGGTCTACACTATGTTGGGCCACCATGATCCATAATCCAGAGCTGTTCAAAATTCAAAGAACCAATTTTCTCCATTTATAGAGCCTCGGATCAATCTCTTTAGCCAATGGAAGTGAGCCAAACAGCCTGACTGTCCGAGATTCTCCAGAGAAGTCTGAAAGCCTCTTTAATGGGCAGTACAGTTCTCTCTCGCCCGGTTACTACAATGGCTACGGTTATTCTAAAGGTGCGTTGCGGTATCGTTATTGCCATATGTTTTTAGGATTTTTTTTTTTTTTTTTTTTTTTTTTTTAATCTCTTGGCAATGAAATAGAAAAAAAAAAAATTCAGTACAGGATTTCTACTATGTTATTCTGTTATATGAAGATTATGTTGATTAATCCTAGTCTATTAATTGATGAATAAAGATTTTATCATATTCTGGTATGAAAGCTTAATGAATGAACAAAGGCAGTATTAAAACCTCATGATGCTGCATCATTGTTATTACATCACAGCAAAATCACATAATCCACAAAGTCCAGTTCATTCATCCACAAAGGGTCCACTAAGCCACCGTTCCTGCCTTCCTCCCAGCCCCGAGTCCTGCCCCCTCGTGGTGCTCGCGAAAGAGCCACAGTCCAGCCCCGAGCGGATCCTGGAGGCGGCACCGCATGCACGAGGGCTATTCCCTGCCCTTGGATGAGTTCCGCATGGCTGCCATGCAGGGCAACCTCCCCGTCATAAAAGCACTCGTCAAACAAGGTGGGTACTGGGGGTAGGAACAGTGGGAATGGGAATAAATGTCTTCACTGTGCAAGGGAAGCCTCTGACTGGGGTCAGTGGTAACCTTTGCAGACTTGACTACAAACCAGAATTTATGTAAGAAGTTTTATCAACTTGTGTGGTTTATTGAGAACTTTGAAAGTGTTTTTGATTGTAATAGAAGGTATTACTTAGAAAACAGTGGTTAACTACTTTTTTTTTTTTTTAATCTCTTGGCAATGAAATAGAAAAAAAAAAAATTCAGTACAGGATTTCTACTATGTTATTCTGTTATATGAAGATTATGTTGATTAATCCTAGTCTATTAATTGATGAATAAAGATTTTATCATATTCTGGTATGAAAGCTTAATGAATGAACAAAGGCAGTATTAAAACCTCATGATGCTGCATCATTGTTATTACATCACAGCAAAATCACATAATCCACAAAGTCCAGTTCATTCAGTCCACAAAGGGTCCACTAAGCCACCGTTCCTGCCTTCCTCCCAGCCCCGAGTCCTGCCCCCTCGTGGTGCTCGCGAAAGAGCCACAGTCCAGCCCCGAGCGGATCCTGGAGGCGGCACCGCATGCACGAGGGCTATTCCCTGCCCTTGGATGAGTTCCGCATGGCTGCCATGCAGGGCAACCTCCCCGTCATAAAAGCACTCGTCAAACAAGGTGGGTACTGGGGGTAGGAACAGTGGGAATGGGAATAAATGTCTTCACTGTGCAAGGGAAGCCTCTGACTGGGGTCAGTGGTAACCTTTGCAGACTTGACTACAAACCAGAATTTATGTAAGAAGTTTTTTCAACTTGTGTGGTTTATTGAGAACTTTTGAAAGTGTTTTTGATTGTAATAGAAGGTATTACTTAGAAAAACAGTGGTTTAAACTCATTTTTATACTATAGTTAGACTGTGTGGCTCTTACAAACACAAAGAATTTTTTGCATGGTTTAAATTCTTGTCGTAGGTGAGTCAGCGCACTAAGGTTGACCTGAATTGTTGACTTATATATACATTCTTTTTACATGTATTTTTTTTTTCATTTATTATAGAATATACATATATATACTTTCTTCTTCTTCTCAAGTATTTAGTAAAGGAGGTGTTTTCTTATGCTATATAAGTTTATTTCCTTTTGGAGAGGGTGAAAGAAAGTATCTTTTTATGGGTTGTTATGTATTTTACCTTCTTAAGTAATATAAGATTAGTGTTTATTTTGGATTACTAGAATTGTGATGCTGATGTTTAGGAGGTTCATCATTGTGAGTGCACTTGGAGACAGCAAGCTAATTCTGACTTGACAGTTTTATGTCCTGAGAATGTAGGTATGTGTGTGTGTGTGTGTGTGTGTGTGTGTGTGTGTGTGTGTGTGTGTGTGTGTGTGTGTGTGTGTGTGTGTGTGTGTGTTTAGGTGTGTGTGTGTGTGTGTGTGTGTGTGTGTGTGTGTGTGTGTGTGTGTGTGTGTGTGTGTCTGTGTGTGTGTGTGTGTGTGTCTGTGTGTCTGTGTGTGTGTGTGAGTGAGTGTGTGTTTGAATCTGTTTGTGCATGCTTGTATATGTCTTAGTGGGTGTGGATATATACTTGCACGAAAATGTCTGTATGTGATTTTGCTTAAAGATTGATGCAGTCCATTATATATATATTTTTTTTCTTTTTCTGTGTTAAATCTATGGATATTATTATTTATAATTAGAACTGCCTTTATTGAATAGCCTTCTCGAGTATCATAATTTTTGGATAATTTAGAGTGTTTCCACACTGCAGGACAGCCACAAAGATTGTGAATATTGAAAGCTTGATTGAATAAGTGATGTTAGTACCATTTGAATGGAATAGTAACAGCAGTAGTATTTTCACCAAGCATAAGTTACAGATATTCTCAGTGATTTTCAGTGAAAACCTTTGCATATATTTCTCAGTTTTCTTTTCATTTGTTTGTAAATGTGAAGAGACTCTTTTATGCAAATTCCTGTACAAATTGTAATGCTGTGCTGTGTTACCTAATGTCTGATTCCTAAAATATTCTTGTGTTACTACCCGATTTGTTTAGCTTAACATGTACTTTGAGTGCCATTACTGTCGCCATAAATATTCTTGGTATTTTTATCTTCCTTGAGTCTTTTTTACGGTACTTTCAAGAAGGATTTCCAGAAATGCGTAGGATGCTGGAGAGATAAGTCTCGGCAAGACAGTCTTAAAGTCAGATATATATAATTTTCTGAAATGTGTCATGCAAATGGCCACTATGAAGGATGATCTATACTTATGATATGCTCTAATTACATGGTCATGTGTTTTCTGACTTATTTACAGAAATATTGAAAGTTTGTGAAAGTATGTTTAAAGTCTTTATTTTCTTGTGAATTGCTTTTACAGGAATTGCTGTCGACCAGATCTTGAAGTCAGGTTGGACGTGTCTGATGTATGCTTGCTCCAGCGGCAAGCAGCACATCGTGGAGTATCTGCTGCAACAAAATGCCGACCCGAACCTCCATAAGGGTGAGTTGAAATGTCAATTGCTTCCTTTTCACTTCGTTCTGGGATTTAGGTTTTTGCACAGCTCCAGACACCCACGTGCACATGTACATACACATATGCAAAAACTTTCATACTTACATGCATATACTTACATACACTCACTTACTCATTCACTCAAACTCACTCAAACTCACACATTAACTCACACACATTCACTCACCCACCCACTCACTCACTCACTCTTTCATTCACACACTCACTCTCACTCACACACACTCACTCACTCACTCACTCACTCACTCACTCACTCACTCAATCACTCACACTCACTCACTCTCACTCACCCAATCACTCACACACACACTCACTCACTCACTCACTCACTCACTCACTCACTCACTCACTCACTCACTCTCTCAATCACTCACCCACTCAGTCACTCACACACTCAATCACTCACTCACACACACACACACACACACACACACACACACACACACACACACACACACACACACACACACACACACATTCATACATTCACTCACACTCACTCACTAACACACACACACTCACTCACTCACTCATACACTCACTCTCACTCACTCACTCAAACTCACACATTCACACACTCACTCACTTCACATACTCACACACACACTCATTTACTCACTCACACCCACGTGCACATGTACATACACATATGCAAAAACTTGTGCATATTCACTTTCATACTTACATGTATATACTTACATACACTCACTCACTCATTCACTCAAACTCACTCAAACTCACACATTCACTCACCCACTCACTCATTCACTCACTCATTCAAACACTCACTATCACTCACACACACTCACTCACTCACTCACTCACTCACTCATACACAGACTCAATCACTCACACTCACTCAGTCTCACTCACCCAATCACTCACACACACACTCACTCACTCACTTACTCACTCACTCACTCACTCAATCACTCACCCACTCAGTCACTCACCCACTCACCCACTCACCCACTCAGTCACTCAGTCACTCACACACTCAATCACTCACTCACTCACACACACACACACACACACACACACACACACACACACACACACACACACATTCATACATTCATTCACACTCACTCTCACTCACTCACACTCACTCACTCACTAACACACACACACACACACACTCACTCACTCACTCACTCATACACTCACTCTCACACACTCACTCAAATTCACACATTCACACACTCACTCACTCACTTACTTCACATACTCACACACTCATTTACTCACTCATTCACTCACAAAAAGAAAGAGAGAAACAAGAAGGTGCACAATATCCTCATGAGAGGCGAGCGCGAGGTCACGTCTGCTCGCGTTGCCACATGTGCCGCTTGGCCTCCTTCCAGGGCAGATCAGCTGACAGACGGGTGGGAGGGTCTAGGCGTTTTGTGTTTTTCTTCTGCCCTTTATTTTGGTGTTATTTGATATTGTTTTTTGGTACTGTATGTGTTTATTTGTGGTGTTATTGTGTGTGTCGAAGTGGAAGGGGATAGTTGTTATCAGAACAGGATTCTGGAGTGAAATGTATGTGTATACTTTTTTTTTTTTCTATTTTTTATCTTAATTTTTGTGATTTGTGATAAATTTCAGATCAGGCATATAGTCAGTCTCAAAGAACTAACGTCTGAAAATATCTGAAAGTTGCATAACCTTGGTGAAAACGTGCGATTGTGTGCAATCGTTTTTCCTCCTTGGCACACAACCCGCCCAAAGCACGAGGCATTTTTGGCACCCGAGCCAAGACAACCTGTTGAGAAGGTCTCCTGCAGTGCGCCTATTTTTAGCGTCTGAATGATGGCAGTTGTTAATTTTGAACTTTTTTCGGGTTTCCTTTTTTCGATTTTTCCTTTCATTTTTTTCTTTTTGTGAATCGTGTCTTTATTATATTTTCACTATTAAAGACTTTTTTTTTTTGTGTCTGTGTGTATATGTGTATGTGTTTGTGTGTGTGTATGTGTATCTGTATGTGTGTGTTATATTTATTTAGGTGCACTAATGTTGATGGAACCTCAGCGGCATCATTGGCCCCTACCAGAGTGTGGGTGCAAACAGGCAACAACAGGAACACAGATGAACTCACTGACCCGCAAGCCAAGGGGATAAATTTGATAATACTCTCTCTTTCTGTGTCTCTCCTTTTCCCATTTTCTTTTCTTTCTCTCAACCCCTTTCTCTCTCAGGGTCTTTCTTGATCTCTTTTTCTTGTCGTATATATATATATATATATATATATATATATATATATATATATATATATATATATATATATATATATATTTTTATATATTTATATTTATACACATATCTTTCTCTTTCTCTTTCTCTTTCCCACTCTCTCTTTTCCATTCTATCCTTCTCTTTTCCATTCTCTCCTTCCCCCTCTCTCTCTCTCTCTCTCTCTCTCTCTCTCTCTCTCTCTCTCTCTCTCTCTCTCTCTCTCTCTCTCTCTCTCTCTCTCTCTCTCTCTCTCTCCCCCCCCCCCCCCTCTCTCCCCACTCTCTTCTCTCTTTCTTCTCTCTCTCGGTCTCTCTCTCTTCTCTCTCTCAGTCTCTCTCTCTCTCTTTCTCTCTCTTTCCCTCTCTCTCTCCTTCTCTTGCTCCCTCTCTTTTCCACTCTCTCTCTTTCTTTCTCTTTTCCACTCTCTCTCTTTCTCTTTCCCACTCTATCTCTCTTTTCTTCTCTTTCCCATTCTCTCTTTCCCTCTCTCTCTCACTCCTCTCTTTCCCATTCTCTCTTTCTCCCACTACTTCCCCCTCTCTCTTTTGCCCACTACTTCCCCCTCTCTCTTTCTCTCACTATTTCCCCCGCTCTCTTTCTCCCACTATTTCCCCCTCTCTCTTGCTCTCTCTTTCTTTTTCACCCCCATGTTTCTCTCCTCTAACCTCATTCTCTCTCTGTCTCTCCCTCCCTCCCCTTTCTACTCTGCCCTCTCTTGCTCTCCTCTCCACCACTCTTTCGTATAACGTTCTATCTGTTCATCTCTTTAGCATTTACATCCACTCGCATCTTTCCTTCAGAGCTGTTCACACCCCTCATGGCTGCCTGTGCCTCTAGTCGGGAGTCCGAGTCAGACCTCCTGGAGTGTGTAGAACTCCTGTTGAATTACGGCGCCAAGGTAGACACGGCCGAGCGCCACAGGATGACAGCGCTCATGTTTGCCAGCAAGGAAGGCCGCGCCACCATCGTCCAGAAGCTCATCAGTGAAAAGGCCGATGTGAATAAACAGGACAACAAGGGGTAGGTGTGGACGTTTGATCAGTTTGTTGACTCTGGGGTGTCTTTCTTTTTGTCCTTTGGTGTGAGGAATGTCTTGGTTATTATAAGTGATTTTATGATCTTTAATCACTCTTTTTTTTATTCTTCTTTTTCTGGTTCATGAGAAATGATAATTGATTGACAGTTTGGTGATAAGGATTATATTATTAATAACAAATTGAATATCCATAACAGATGGACAGCTTTATGTTGGGCAGCAACCAAAGGTCATGGAAAAGTGGTGCGAATATTGCTTCAGAATTCAGCCGACCCTCTCAAGATGAACACTCATGGTCAGCGTCCAGCTGACATAGCTCTTGCTGCAGGTTATCCCGAGGTATGAGAAAATGTGAAGCTGGTTGTCTCAGTTATCCACGATTCTATTTATTTATTTATTTTATTTTTTTCTTATTAACCCATTGCCGCCGGGGATGGCATGTACGTAGATGCCATGCCCACTGTGAGTCGACTTGTTCGATTGTTTTTACACATAGAAGGCTACACTTGTACTAAGTATCCAATGAGCCAATTACGAGTACTGCCTGTCTCGCCAGTTCACCAGTTATCCTAATTTGCTGTTAAAAATAACACCATCTATATTTATAGCACTAGTAAAAATACATTTTTTCATGCCAATTCAAGGAAAGGTGAAATCAGGACTAGCAGAGCCATCTATGGACAGATATATTTCACAAAAATATAAAAAATGAGTACTGCATTTCCCCCATTTTTTGTTTATTTTCCCTGGCGTCAATGGGTTAAAAATGCTTTAGATTTCTTAATAGTATACAAATCCTTTACAATTTCAGATTGCAGACATTCTAGAGCGTGTGTGTGTGAGGGATTCGGAACCAAATCCCCTTTTCATCAAAGAAGAAGATGACCTGGACTGTGTACCTCGCAAGCCTTCCTCAGATGTCAAAACAATCCAGAACTTCGGTGAACTTGAGATGGTTCTGTCGGGCTTAGACTTGGCATATATGATACCCCTGTTTCAGGAACATAAGGTGGGTATTTTTAAGGATCATAAGGATGATATTACATAAGTTCATTGGGGGGAAGGGGTCGAGGAAAGCATTGTCTTGACCCATTTTTTTTTTTTTTTCTTCTTCTTCTTCTTCTTTAAGAAATAACAGGGACACAGCTGATTTTGATATCATATGTATATATGATACAATATATGTGATATTTACTATTTGATATTATTTTCACCAAACATTCTGGGATGCTAGGATTTTATCTTTGTAATTTTGTTTACACATAGATGGTTGTAGATAATGATAATGAGAGTGTTAACCCACTTATGATAGGAGCCATCAATGCTGTACTAAACCACATGTTAGGGTTTGTGCAGATTTGGCTGCTCAGTGTACAAATTAGACACATGGAAACCATAAAATTACCTGCTTGTCTATGGTGTTAGCTGCAGCATAAATAATTCTTTAGCAAGTAAGGCTAGATAGAGGCTTCAAGCCCACTTGAAGTGCTGTATGGTGTGTGGTGCAGCGGTAGCATTCTTGTCCAGCAATCTTGCTGACCTGCGTTCAAATCCCTTGCTGCCAGTGAATGGTACCCCCAGCCATTCCTTGCACACAGGGGGGATTTAGATGCATAATGAAACAGACAGCATGTCATGTCAAGCATATTCATTGTTACAAATGGAATAAAACTAAATTATTATTATTATCTTGATAATGTGTTCATATGTATGTATTTATTTATACCTGTGTGTATGTGTGTGTGTGTGTGTGTGTGTGTGTGTGTGTGTGTGTGTGTGTGTGTGTGTGTGTGTGTGTGTGTGTGCATGTTTTTTGCACATGCTTGCATTTTTTCTTCTTCTGTGAAAGCAAATAATCCTTTTACTTTTGACAGGTGTCCTTTGAGACTTTCCTGCGTCTGACGGAGAAGGACCTTGAGAGCATGAACGTGTCAGCCATTGGAGTGCGCAAGAAAATCCTCCAAGCTGTCAAAGAGATCAACAAGAAGGAGTGGCAGACGTCTAGCCTCCCAGCCATCACCTTAGACACACAACTTACGTAGGTTTTGAATTCCTTTTTCTTCATTTTTGGTTAGAGTACTTGCATATGTAATTCTATGTAGATATTATACTGAAATGAGAAATTCTGTCTGTGGGTAAGTATTGTCTCTACAGAAAAAATGAGCTTTGAGTTACATTTTCATACAGAATTAATGATATAAGATATCTTTGAAATACAGTTCCATGTGCAATTGATAATCTTATTAATGATAGTTTTTTTTCCCAACCACAGAGTTCCTGAAGCAGTAGCCATGATCGCCAACATGAATAAGCATATCCGTTACATGCATGCATCCATAGGCTACCTGCGAGACCAGCTGCAAGGAAACCCTAGGCTGCTTCAACTGGGCCAGGAGGTGCACAATGTGGTCTCACTCGCTAAGAGCTGTGGTGACACGCTCAAGCACTTGTCCAACTTTCATGAGGAGGTCAAGTTCTTCAAGACCCATCTTGATAAGGTAGCTTTTAAGCATGTGTACAACCACTGTTTTTCTTTCTCTTGCTCTGAATATCCTTACTTTTCTTTTCTTTTTTAATTCCTAGCCAGAGATTTTTTGCTATATTTTTAAATTATCTTCTTTCATCTTTCTCTTCTTCTTCTTCTTCCTTGTCTTCTTTTTATATTTTTTCAAATCAGTGCGGCCATGGATAGCCCATAAGTACATGCCATGCCTACTGTGAGTTAGTTTATTAATTGTCTTCACACCTATATGACTCCACATGTACTTTGTCATCAGTGAGCTAATTACTGGTTCTTCTTATCTCACCTGTTTCCCCATTTCCCTGATTTTCTTTCATCTTATATTGCTGTTCGTAAAGTCATAAACATTATAATGATTATAATGCCTATAATAGATTGATATTGACAGCATTAGTAGAAAAGTGATTTTTCCTGAAAACTCAAGGAAAGGTGGAAACAGAGGAGGCTGTTAATTGACTCTGGTGGATAATCCCTTGTGGAGCCTTCTATGTGTAGAGACAACTCATAAAAACAATTCTACCGTGGACGCTACATTTTCCCGGTGGTATGAGGTTGATATTGGTGTGATATTCCAGGTCAGTGGAAATGCAGAGTACAGCTCAGCAGACCTCATAGTGGACTATGCAGACAACGGCAGAGTCTGGCAGCGACGCCTCTTAGCCTCACTCGTGGCCACAACGGCAATCGCAACAATTCTCTGGTACTCACGGCCTCGAGCCTTTGCCAAGATCTTTAACATTAGTGTTGTGCCGCACGATACAGTTTTGTTAGATGTGTAAGGCGGCTTCATTCGTCAAAAGGGAAGTAAAGCTTTGTTTTAAATGTGACAAGGAGATGGATTAATTTTGTTTCTGTTTCTACTTCACTTTCAGAGTTGAGATTTTTTTTTCTTCTTTCTACATTGCTGTTATTATTAAGCATTATACTAGAGAATACTATAATATTGCTTTCTGATACTTATCATTAAATTCCTTACTAAGAATCGTAAGGATGTGGTATAAAGATAGTTTCTAATTCTGTACAGAAAAAAAAATGTTTTGAGTTACGAGTGTTTCTTTTATTATTCGTCTTTCTCTTTCACTTAGAAAAGAAACATGCTCTATTCACAACTTGTCCTGCCTTGTTAACCCGCTGTTGATGGGATGGCAGGAATACCCTCCTTGTCCACTGTGTCTGAGTTGATTGCCTTTACACACAAGTTGTCCCACGAGTAGCCTAATCACCAAGGACTCAATTACTAGTCCTGCCCAGCTCACCTGGTTACCCTTTTCATTGTTTCTTGTTTCATTTTTTATTGCTGTAACTTAATAACATAATATTAATTGTAGTGTCAACAACAATAATAATAGCATTGATATTAATAGCATTAGCAAAGGGACAGTTAGGCTTACTGATTGGCTCCTTGGTGTCGGAGCACCTGTGGACCCATCGACATTTCACAAAAGAAAATCACTGTAGACAGTGTGACTACTCAGCACCATTGGGTTAAGTTAGAACCAGTGTGTAATTTTGTTATATATATAAATGGGTGTGTGTGTGTGTCTGTGTCTGTGTCTATGTATATATACATGTTTATATATGTATATATATATATATATATATATATATATATGTATATATATCTATATGTATATATATATTTATATATATCTATATGTATATATATATATGTATATATATGTGTGTGTGTGTGTGTGTATATATGTATATGTATATATATATATGTTATATATATTATATATATAAATATATATGTGTGTGTGTGTGTGTGTTTGTGCATGTCAATGTCTATGTCTATATATGTTTATTCATATGTATATGTATATATATGTATGTATATACTATATATAATATATATAATATGTATATAATATATATTTATTATATATATAATATATATATAATATATATATAATATATATAATATATAATATATATATATATAATATGTTATATATGTATTATATATATATATATATATATATATATATATATATATATATATATATATATATATATATATATATATATTTGAGATATAAATAAAACATGTATGAGTGTGCATATATGTTTAATGATTTAGAATAAGGTTTTACAATACAACAGAAATGAAGTGAGAATTCATTTTACTTTGAATGAAGGTTGAAAACATTTAATTTGCATAACTCCTAAGTGCCTTCCTTTCACAATGGCATAAAGTGCAGTTTTCTTTAAGAACAAATAAATAATAGAAATACATAAAGCAAAACGATTGCCTATAAATACAGGCTGTGAGGCTGCGCACGTGAGACAATGAGCCCAGAAATGTAAATATAAACTGCAAGTATAAAAAGCTTATAGAGTTTATTTGGATTTAGTCCTCAGATAACAGCTCTGTAATGGAACTTATAGTACAAAATAAAATCTTCCACGTTTATGGTGTTTTAATTTCATGTTCATAATTTTACTGTCAAAAATGTAATGTAGATAGTAGTATTTGATATTAGATTGACAGTAGAAAAGCCTACTATACACAAATTTGGTTTATTGAAAGATGAGACAGCAGTTTTGGAATCCTCATGGATTTCATCTGAAAGTTAACTGATATATGTAACTTATCTATGGTAATTTAAGATGATTATTCAGTTCAAAATTAGGTAGAAGATATATATTCATATATGTACATACACATCTATATTTTCTTTCCTTTTCTCTCTTTGTAAGTACCACAGTCTTTGTGTTCATTTTTCAGGAGTATCAGTCTATCCTAATATTATGCAAAGTTAGGAGAATAAATGATAGTCTTGCTGGACAAAAAAAAAAAGCCTTGGACATAAGAACTGAAAAACTAAATATTTCACATCATCTTGAAAACTTCTCAACAGAACTTCACAGAGTTTATCTATGTATCCCCTGTACCATAGTCTTTTCAGTTAAGTTGGTTGGTAAAGGAGCCTAAATAGGATTAAAATTTTTAGTTTGTTTACTCTTTCCCTGTTTGCATACAAGAGGAGTACCTGTTAGCCTTTGTAAGTATAATATTAAAAATCCAGAATTATGATTTTTTTTATATATATATATATTTTTTTTATATAATTTTATTTTTTATGATTTTACTTTTATTATTATTATTATTATTATTATCATTATTATTATTCATTTTCATATTTTTTTTTTTAGAATTACACCTTCCATACCAAAAAACATCAACCATTAAACAATCCAATAGGTGTTTTACGAATAGCACTATAAATTTGTCATACGATAGCAAAACTTGTGATGTTTTTGTCAAGATGTAATAGCAGTTTATGACTATGTCCTCCTATTTTGAATTTCCTTATTTTCTCTAAGATGCATTGAGATTCATATCCTAATATCTCAGTTATATTACTGATGTAAAGGCATATACATGGCAATCAAATGAAAAGCAACCTTCATAAAACTATTTTTCTCTGAAGAAATTTTTGATTATTTATTTATCCTCAATATTTTCAACACATTTTCTTAAAGTTGGGGCATAACAATATGTATAAAAAAAAAAAAAAAAAAAAAAAAAAAAAAAAAAAATTAGGAAAATAATACACAAACTTTCTTTGTTACAAAACAAGATGTATTCTTTCCTTTGCCTTCAATACAATTAACAACAGGTTTGCAAGCTGCTAAAATGTGATAAAATAGATTATTTACATACCAAGAGTACAATTAAAATGAAAAATGTCAATTTAGTGGAGATGGTGATACTTGGCGGTGTCCCTATCTCTTTGATACATGTGCGAAGCAGATGGCTGTTCTGCCGTCCACTCACTTGTAGATCAAAAATAAATGACTAGATGAAATGATCATGATTGGTGAAAAGCATAAAAAACAAAGAAATACTAAAACAGCATAACAGACTTCAATATCTCTTCCACTTTTGCACGTTAAAAAATCCTTGACTAGATAACTACTAATGGACTGCCTCCTGGAATATTTATACAAACTCAATGGTAAAAAAAGAGTAATGACAGTTAAAACTTAAAACTCTTACGAGATATGACACAATACAAGGACAAATGAAGACACAAAGTGATCACATTTTCAGCGCACAATCAAAAGTACTAAAGATTTCTTTTTAATTCGCGAATGTAGAAAATCATGGGGACAAACTACATTTCTCGTTGACTGTTTTGATGTGCAACTCGCATACAGAAACTCATCAACAGTGAAGATCCTACACTGATCTCATTACAACCGGACAATCCTCTCTTCGGCAAAATCATCAACTTTTCTGAAGTTCCAGGGCATACCTGGCAATAAATACGGCAGTATGAAGATTTGACAAAAAAAATTAACAAAGCTGGTTAAAATAGTTGTTACAGTATATCAATATCACAGATTTCTTTGGTAGGTCACCTACTTCACCTGACTGCAAATCAAGTCCCACAGTCAAGGATGTTCAGTAATTGTCCAAACCAATGAAGGAAAAAAATATACAATAAAATAAAGTAAATAAATAAAAAAAAATACAAAACTTTAAAGTGAAGTGTGTACGGAGGCTACAGATTCTCGTGCCAATGTAGTGTACATTTATTTTTTTTTTTACTTTCTTCTTTCCAGGTCCCACGCTGATGTAGAATGACAATGTTACACATGGGTGACCTTCAATTTAAAAAAAAAAAAAAAAAAAAAAAAAAGGTAAAGAATATTTAATGCTGGAATTAAGAAAAAAAAAAAAGAATACTGCGCCTCAGTAAACAGGTCACTTGTTGTGCTTTGACAGGTGTAGCCTTTAAAATTCAGTTAGTTATCCCTTTGTGTCACTGATTATGCTATTTTAGTAAACCTTTACTTTTATCATTTAAATCTTCAATCTATTTCAAATAATCTGAATGTTGTGTCTGCAAACCACACTACTAATCAGCTAATTAGTACCACGATTTGCACGCAAGTTCTGGCATAACAAAGACCAATATATAACTAGTAAACTACCTGTAAAAATTCACTTCCAATATCACAATGTTATTTTCCAACATCTTGAGGAGAGCTTGTCTTTTAAGATGAAAATTTTCTCCCCAAGATGTCCACAGAGTAGGCTGAAAATTTGACAGGCAATACAGAAATCATATATTTTTGACCTACAAGTTCCACGGTGGATATCTCTGCCGTTGCCGACCAAACATATCCACGACATCCTGATGGCCTGGTAGGTTTTCTTCCCTGGTAAACGCATTTGTATTACAATAATGGTGTGGGGTGTATGCACAAGAGCAATTTTATTTTTATTAATATAAAGGGAAATTGGCCACTGAGACAAGCAAGCTTCTTTCACGTGCTCGATCACGTCGCCAAATAGGTCAAGATTTAATTAATTAAGGTCTTGATAGTAATAACAACAACATCCTGAAGTACACAACTCCACAGTCAAAGAAAGGCAGCTTGCAAACTTGCCGAGCAATTCTGGCGCTCTCATTTTTTTTTGTTTATCCGTCTCCGCTTAGGCTTTGAAGCGTCCATTGCCGGTGACCTCTGTTCTCAATCTGCTATCCAACTTTCACGCAAATGGAATTACACCAAAATTCCAACGGATTTTCCACCACTCCAATACACAGAGAGAGCAAGCCATCACATGGCTTCTCCTTCTGCCCTTTACCAAGTGTAACAAAAATACTTGTTCACACAGAGTTCAGTACTCTTTTCACAATTTCTTTTTCTTTCCCATTTCATGTTTTCTTCTTGCCATTTCAAAAAAAAAAATAAAGAACAGGGCTTGCATTCCAATGCCAAATGCAGGCCAACGTAATCTTCGTGACAGCACAGCCGAATATCTTTTTTCGTTTCACTTTCGTCTTCTACTTCTGAAAAGAGCGTCTGTCGTCGGCTGTTTCAACGGGACACAAACACCAATCACAAACATCTTACCATTCACAATACACAACGTTGTCCGCCGCGACTCTCGAACACCAGCAAATCATCTTTTTGTTCCCAAGTTTCCCACTGTGCATGATTAACAAAAGGGTTTCCCAAAGCCCCAAAGAAAAGGGATTATCACTATCATTTCTCTCTCTCTCTTTTGTGTATTAAGTAAACTGGAGGTGCATCCAAATGTTTTCCTCGTTTCTATGGCAACTTGTGTAGCTATTTCTTCTTAGTGATATGATTTTACCTACATTACAACAGAATATAAAACCTGTGCAATTTCATTTTCTAAACGAGAATTTTTGCAATTGTGTCCAATTGTAAGAGAGATAAAGGCTCATTTTTTTTCTTTCTTTCTTGACTATTCTGAGTTCATCTCAAAATAGAACCAACCAATTATATCAAATTTGTAAAGAGTGGAAAAAAAAAAGAGAGAAAAAAAAAAACATTCTAACAAAGCTGAGAATCTGACTTTCATCACAGGAATTTGGTTCGCATTTTTCTTAATAAATAGTAAGTATTTCAACCTCTTTCCTCCGACGACTCTACTGGTCTGCCTACGGAGAGAAAGCGCTACACAGCGGTTCAATTCCCATCACGACTGAATACTAGGGCAGTGTATCCTTAACGTACGTTCAAAAGGTCAGCTATTGGTGGCAATCTCACCTTCCCAGGGTCTGCCTGTGTTTGAACTGACTTTGAAAAGATTATCGGACTTTGAAATGCTTATTACGCTAACAGATGGGGATACAACGGCAAAAAAAAAGAAAAAAAAAAAAAGAAAAAAAAAAAAAGTTTCTTAACATTACATTTTGAATCCTCCCCCCTCCCTAAAAGGATACCCTTTTCTATTAACAAATAATAAAAATCATATATATAAATTAGCTTCATCAAAAATAATAATAAATAAACAGATAATAAGTGAAAGTCATTCCCAACCTATAAAATAATATTCAAATCTTGCTCCATTGCTACTATGGGGTTCAAAGCACACTTCACTCCCAGCTCAAATGACCTGCAACAGAAACAGATCCTTCGCTCCTCCATAACCCTACTCTGTTCTCTTTCATAAATATGGACGCAAAGAGCCTCGGCATTTTACAGGTCTAGCTCACGCTGAAGGTTACCTGGGCGGGCACGACTGAAAGGAAGGAGGACCTACGTAAGCTGTTACAGAGTTTATTTTCTAAAATGATGGTAACAATGATAGTAAACGATAAGGAACGAGGGGAGGTACGAGAAGTGCTGATGAAGAAATAATGGTCAAAGATGATGATAATATTATTTAAAAAATGGTAAATAAATCCATCCCAATTAAAGAAATTTTCATAACACTTACTGTAGGAGGCATAGTATTAAAGAATGTAGCTACGGTTGACCAAAGTATGATGGAAATTTATCTATCACAAAAAACAAAAACAACATAAAAAAAAAGAATGGTTACAATAAATAGATAAATATAAATACAAACAAAAGTTGACATAGTGGTTGACATTCTCCTCTCAGAACTATCGTTTCTAACAGGATTCTGAGGGATAGCCTCAAGAACTGTAGCGAAAATAAAACGATTTCTGCGAGGGGCAATGGAAGAAAGAAATAACTCCAAGAAATATTTGGCAAGCTAATAAAAATGTTCCTGGAAGAGGCACGGAAAGGAAGACAGCAAGAAAGAAAAAAAGGTGTAGAACAAATGAAAAATTTCACTTTCATGAGTTTTCCTAAAATATCTTTATAATTGTTGGAGCCCCATTTTTGGCTGTGAAGTTTTTGAAGTCCCACAACTACATACTCTGCAGATATCACCTCAACGGAACCACTGGAAGTACGTGGACGTTAATTTAGTATCCGTTATTCCTCCCTCAACATTAAAAGCACTTCTAAACAGCTTCGGAACATCCTTGAGCTCAAGTATTTTCAAAAATGCCAATGAAACTGTATTCCATTTACGCAGCCTAACAAGAGGGTGTGAATGCAAGCAAATAATAGCGCAAAAAGCTGAAGCACTGTATGGAACCTAATCAGATCAATGACTGATATAGGGGCATGTGTGTGAGTATTTATTACATGATTAAACAGAGGCACTGAATATAGTGAAGCGAGAAAATTCATTGCAAACATAAGATAAAACAACCACTTACAATCTTACTTTCCAAAAAGTATCAAAGAAATATTCAAAGCGAACAAAATTTATTTTTTTTATCATTCTTTACGAACCGCATTAACAATAAGAGCTGGCATTTCCTTGAATAATCCATAAGCAACGACTATGATTTGGGTATATGTACGTATGTATATAAAATGCCTTCCTTACTTCGGTAGATTAAAACTAATTTGTCACTGAGCATTTGGGGACGAATTTCCCTTCATGATCAATCCCCCCAAATGAAAATAAAAAATAAATACAAGTAAATAATGAATAAATAAAATATATTCTTTTATTTAAAGTCTCTGCCCACAACCCTCTCTGGCTGTTACCACCTGCAGTTCTTTCCTTTTTTCTACAAGCTTCAACCTTCCATATAAAACAGTATCAGTGAGAGAGAAAGAGAGAGCGAGAGAGAGAGAGAGAGAGAGAGAGAGAGAGAGAGAGAGAGAGAGAGAGAGAGAGAGAGAGAGAGAGAGAGAGAGAGAGAGCATGTGTCAGTAAATACATGACTGCATGACTGAATGAGTGAGTTAGTGAGTAAATGAGTGCATTTGTGAGTGAGTGAGTGTATTTGGGAGTGAATGAGTGAGTGAGTGAGAGTGAGTGCTAGTGAGTGTGAGGGTGTTAGTGAGTGTGAGTTAGAGCGAGCACAAATGAGTTAGAGTGAGTGAGTGTGAATGTGAGTGAGAGTGTGTGAATGAGTGAGAATGAGAGTGTGAGTGAGTGAGTGAGTGAGTGAGTGAGTGTGCATGTGAGTGAGTGAGTGAGTGAGTGAGTGAGTGAGTGAGTGTGCATGTGAGTGAGTGAGTGAGTGTGCATGTGAGTGAGTGAGTGAGTGTGCATGTGAGTGAGTGTGAGTGTGAGTGTGAGTGAGAGTGAGTGTGAATGTGAGTGAGTGAGCCTGAATGAATGAATGAATGAATGAGTCAGAACACTAAAGAGGAAGGGAGAAATACGGAAAAAAAAAAAAAAAAAAATGTAAGCAAGAGAGAGAGAGCGCTAGACCACCGGCGGAGGAGTGAGAGCGGGAGAGCAACGAAGGCGCCACCGCCCGTGACCGCCTTCCGACAGACCCACCCCGAGCAGACGTGGGAGCACAGGAACTCACCCAACAATCACGCTTCCTTCGTGTCCTCTTCCTAAGGTTCAATTTGGATGCACATTAAAGTATTCTTCTATTTTTTTGGGCTTTTTTTTTTGTGTTTTGTTTACTTTAGGGCTTGGGTTAAATGCTATTGCTTGATTCCCTATTCAGTGCCCCTCCCTTATCCCCCCCATACCTAATATTCAGTAACTCTTACTGTGGTTGGAAATCAATCTTTTATTGCGGAGGAATCAGAGAAAGAGAAAGAGACAGGACGAGAGAGCTAAAGCAAGCATCAAAAAATTTTTTTTTAAAAAGAAGAAGAAAAAAAAAAAAGGACTCGTCTCCATATAAATTATCAAGTTGTGTTATCAAATCCATTAATTATTCACCAGTCTATGGATCTGTTATATTCAATAACATTTTTCTACATATATGTATAAAAAAAATTGAGGATACCAATAGAGAAAAAAATGAAAGACAGGAGTAGAGAAGAAATGAGGAAGACTAAGCAGAAACGGCTGACGAAAAAATGAAAGACGACAAAGGAGAGACAGAGGAAATGATCAAAGAAAGAGAAAAAGATGGTGCAAAAAGGCAGCACCAGTAGCATCACATCCCTGCAAGAGATGCTGCAGATGGGGCAGTGCGTTTAAGAGGAAGTCGGCAAGCAATTATCCGTCCGACAACGAGTGTTCTATTTTTTTTTTCTCTTGTTCTTCACTTGATCTGCTGGTTCAGTCACAAGGAAGATCGAAAAACATATTTCAACTTAAAAAAAAATAAAGAATAAAAAAAAAAAAAAAAATAGGGGAAAAGTTCTTCCGTGGGACGTTATTGGTCTGTGTTGGTCTGTGTACATGGCACTTGCGCCAGTGATGGCACCGCGACCTTGCACTATGAATTCGAGGTGGAGTCCGAGGTGTGTCCGTTGTCATAGGAGGTGTTGGAGTTCCCATTAACAACAAAAGATGTTCCAAGGCCGTACAAGTGGCCGCAGTATTTTGCGTCGTCAATCTTGTCCTCGAAGAACATCTGTGTAGAGGAGAGAAGTGTGAACTTGTTGCTTCCACCACATTCAAACTGTGCAAATTCCCAGAAATGAACATAGGAAAGTATATCAATGATGCAATGGTGATTCTTTATCTTAGTCATTGCTTATAGTTCTCTTATCATCTAAGTATCATAAATGTTAAAAGGTTCCAAAAAGGGAAACACAGCAGTACCAGTAATGACGGTCATAAAAATAGTATCTTTAAAAGGGTGATCTAGCAATAAATAATATTTGAAACTTTTCGACCATATATCATTATCAGGAAAGTCTGAGAAATACATGAAAAAATATGTATGTAATGTTGGCCCCTAACATTCATTTCTGTTAAGTTTCTAGGCTCCTCCCTTGTTCATACAATTTGCATATGCAAGCTATGAAAAGCATTCAGCAGTTACCTGTAATAGCTCTTAATAAAAACACATTTGCTATTAAATAGTTTATTTCAAATCTGTACATTTCCTACTTTTCTCGCTACCCTTTGTTACTTACCAGATTCAATAAGGGATCTTTTGCCATTACAGCCTCTTGACTCTTTTATTATAAAACATCTAAATATGCAATTAATCCAATCTCCCGAACAAACAGATGCCCAAACGATATCCTCACGCGGCCAACTGTATGATCAAGGGAAATACATCGTCATGGGGTCACAGACAGCAAAACTTACTCTGCTCAACAAAGGACAAATATGGACATACCTCTTTCATCTTGAAAAATGCAGCACCTGTGAGAAGGGAATCTGAGCCTGCCTGATGCTGTGGCCCCACGCGCTCCAGCTCCAACTGCTCAGCCACTTCCTGCAGGCCTCCCTTGAGGTTTTTACAGGATTTCATCAGGTACTGAGAGGGGAAAGAAGAGAATTCCAGTCACTGCTCTTAAGCCTATGAGATGCTTCAAGAAAGGGTGGTGGGAAAAGAGGGGAAAGAATTTGTAAAGCTCAATTAGAAGCAAAACTGGGAAATTCTCTTCAGAGGTTTTCCGGACCAGTGACCACATCAAGACTATATTCTGACTTAAGGTGGTAAGCCACCCATGACAGACCAGCTACAAAGGGCACTTACAGGTCCACGCTACAGAAAACTCAACTTAGCGCCATGATGACAACAAGGGTGTTCCTATATCAAAAGACTTTCACCAAGTTTACTCCAAAATATACTATGTATCATTTATAATAACAGGCAATGGGATAAAGCCAGACAAAAAACTACATACCTTAACATCGTATATTGATGGGAAGTAGAGTCTTAAAAGCTCGAAGAATTCACTCTCTTCACAGGGCAGGTTCTGGTCTGTCAAGAGCTTCAGCAGATAGCCAAAATCGTACCCACTGTTGAGAAAAATCAAAATTGTTACAAGGAGCTGATATTACAATGCCCAGCTAGTCTAACAAGAGTGGAAAACACACACACACACACACACACACACACACACACACACACACACACACACACACACACACACACACACACACACACACACACACACACATTCAGACAGATAGACCATAAACATATGAGCATGTCTTTAACCTGTTAATGTCAGGAGTGAACCTAAACATGTCAACTTTGATATTATCCCAATGCTGACGGGTAAAAAAAATTAATGAAATTAATAAACTTTGGAGATTTGTGGCAACGATAAGACACTGGGAACAGGAGTCCGCTACATCAATCATAAAATGGTTATCATAATCAATATTACCATTACAGTTATTATAATTTTATCAATACCAAAATTAAATGAGCAAAAATAATATATATATATATTTCCAAAAATCAAGGAAAAAGGTGAACATGACACTAAAGGGAGGACTAGTAAGTGACTCCTTGGGGACTTACTGAGGCATCTATGTGGAAAATGAATAAACTAAAACCACAGTGGATATGGCATGCACTTTTGCCATCCTGATGTCAATGGGCTAAACAAAGACATAGGGAGAGAGGGAGAGGGAGGGAGGGAGAGAGAGAGAGAAAGAGAGGAAGGGGGAGAGAGAGAGGGAGAGAGAGAGAGAGAGAGAGAGAGAGAGAGAGAGAGAGAGAGAGAGAGAGAGAGAGAGAGAGAGAGAGAGAAAGAGAGGAAGGGGGAGAGAGAGAGAGAGAGAGAGAGAGAGAGAGAGAAGAGAGAGAGAGAGAGAGAGAGAGAGAGAGAGAGAGAGAGAGAGAGAGAGAGAGAGAGAGAGAGAGAGAGAGGGGGGGGGAGGAAGAGGCAAGGGACATGAACCCACATTATCATCATTATTATCAGTAAGGTAAAGAGAATAAGGAAAGACTCCAATCACAGAAACTTCCTAAGTGACTCTGAGACTCCCATGTCACCTGCATCACTTTCCTCCACCGGCATACCTGTGGAAGGACAGCATCTTGATATTGTCGAAGAGGACGATTCCCGAGGTCATGAGGAGCTCGGCAAAGTCGACGGGTTCGATTCCGTCTTCCTCGTGTTTTTTGAACTGTAGGCCAGAATTTTGTAGCAGGTCTATACTGTCTTGAGCATACATGTCCTCCCTGTGAAAGAGAGAGATGAAATAAATAAAAACAAAATAAAGATACTACTGAAATAGAGAAACTACTGTAAAGACAAATAGTACCATAGTACATATAATATATATGATATTCTAAATAGACCTACACTATGAGTGAATCAATTTTTAAATGAAGTCAGTACTAATCTATTCCAAGCCTAAACCCAGTTACTTACAAGAGGGTCTGGCCATTATGCTTGACTCAAACGAGCTAAAAACTTAGAATTTCAAAGCCAGCACCACGACACCGGCTGGAAACAAGGCGAGCTGGACTTACGTGAGATTGAACTTGAAATTGAACTGCCAAGTGCTAAACCCTGGCGGCGTTTTCCCTTGTTCGTCGAGGAATGTTAGACCTAGTTGGATGATCTTCAGGAGGTCCACATTACACCGCAATAACTGATATTGGTAGTCTGCGTTACTTCTGAATTCGCCTATTGGCCGGGCCACCACGCCAGGGAATTCTGTGTCCTGCCATGGGAGAAATGTTGTCAGTAAATGATATCTAAATATCTTGATATCACTGTGAAAATACTAATCATAGAATCAAACCAACAAGAGAGCATGAATGTGCTTATTAGTGTGCTCATCCTTGTGTGTACATGAGTATGTATGCGTGTGCAAGGGTGCGTGGGTGCATATGCAAGTGTGCAAGGGTGCTTCTGCATGTGTGCATGTGCAAGCATTAAAGTGTGTGTGGGTGCATGTGCAAGCATTAAAGTGTGTGTGGGTGCATGTGCAAGCATTAAAGTGTGTGTGGGTGCATGTGCAAGCATTAAAGTGTGTGTGGGTGCATGTGCAAGCATTAAAGTGTGTGTGGGTGCATGTGCAAGCATTAAAGTGTGTGTGGGTGCATGTGCAAGCATTAAAGTGTGTGTGGGTGCATGTGCAAGCATTAAAGTGTGTGTGGGTGCATGTGCAAGCATTAAAGTGTGTGTGGGTGCATGTGCAAGCATTAAAGTGTGTGTGGGTGCATGTGCAAGCATTAAAGTGTGTGTGGGTGCATGTGCAAGCATTAAAGTGTGTGTGGGTGCATGTGCAAGCATTAAAGTGTGTGTGGGTGCATGTGCAAGCATTAAAGTGTGTGTGGGTGCATGTGCAAGCATTAAAGTGTGTGTGGGTGCATGTGCAAGCATTAAAGTGTGTGTGGGTGCATGTGCAAGCATTAAAGTGGGTGCATATGCAAGTGTGCAAGGGTGCTTCTGCATGTGTGCATGTGCAAGCATTAAAGTGTGTGTGGGTGCATGTGCAAGCATTAAAGTGTGTGTGGGTGCATGTGCATGTGTGTGTGTCCAGTGGAAGACAGCCCTGCGAGAGCTTCGCACTCACCATGGCCACGTAGGGGTACTGGTGCACAATGCGGCGGATGTGGTGGAACTCCTCCTCCATGTTGTGTGCCCACACCTCCCGAATGCCACACTCCTCGTTTGACATTGGTCTTGACACGCTGCTGTTCCGGCCTCCGCCGCGGTTGCCTCCTCCATCGCC